TTTACTATTCTACAGGCTACTCATCTGTCCTGTGGTCTTGTGTACGCACACATTACAGGCCTCTCCATGACCAATTAAGATGTTGGAACAGAAATAATGGAAATAATCACAGAGTTCAAGTTAACAGACTGTTATAACACTCTAGTTAACAGTGTGTTATCCTGAACTCCCAGTGTTGCCTTTATATACTTGTAACTAATCCAATTTTTTTATATGAAAGTCTTCAACAGTCTATCAAACAAGATAATGTTGCACAATCATATCAAAAGAGGTGTCATCAGTCAGGCAGAAAATACCAGCAACTAGAAACTTTCCATGTAGACCAACTCTCTATGTTCTGCCAAATCCTAGATACTGAATAAATCAAGTATCTGCATAAAATAGCCACCTGAGAAAGACAGAAAACAAAACCAACCCAGACCACCTTCAATTCTATTACCCTAGTGCAGTGTCTGATGGCAACTGTAGCTGCTTTATAATATATCCCAGTTCTCCTCAGTCAGCTGGACTTCCAGCTGGACTTTGTCATCTTCAAACTGCAGCCAGCTTGGCTTCTCTTGGACACAGGATGCGGTACATCATGGATATGTAGCCTGTCTGTGAGCCACCTTATTATGTAGCAGGAAGCAGCGCAGAAAAAAAAAAAAAAAAGGAACAGGAAGAGAAAACTGAGGACACAGTCATTCCTCCATGCACTTGTCTGACAAGATCTCAGCCACAGTGGGTTCAAGGCACTGAGAAGTGATAAAAAAATGGCTTTAAACTTTGAAACCTTCACTGCTCTCAAAATGTTTTTTAAAGATATTTTGGATATGCTCCTTTCAAATAATTCACATATGTGAATTTCATCCCTGGAAAACAAACTGGTAATTTTGTACCTTCTCATATGTTCCAAGGAAACAATAAATGGAAAATTAAATCATGATTTTAAAGAGCATGACCAGCAGGTTGAAGGAGGTGATCCTGCCCCTCTATTCTGCTCTTGTGAGACCCCACTTGGAGTATTGTGTGCAGTTCTGGTGTCCTCAACATAAAAAAGGACATGGAACTGTTGGAACAAGTCCAGAGGAGGGCCACGAGAATGATCAGGGGTCTGGAGCACCCCCCATATGAAGATAGGCTGAGATAGTTGGGGCTGTTCAGCCTGGAGAAGGCTGCATGGAGACCTCCTAGCAGCCTTCCAGTATCTGAAGGGGGCCTATAGGGATGCTGGGGATGGACTCTTCATTAGGGACTGTAGTAATAGGACAAGGGGTAATGGGTTAAAACTTAAACAGGAGAGAAGTTTAGATTGGATATAAGGAAGAAATCCTTTCCTGTTAGGGTGGTGAGGGACTGGAGTGGGTTGCCCAAGGAAGCTGTGAATGCTGCAACCCTGGCAGTGTTCAAGGCCAGGTTGGACAGCCTTGAGTGACATGGTTTAGTGCGAGGTGTCCCTGCCCACAGCACGGTGGTTGGAACTAGATGATCTTAAGTTCCTTTCCAACCGTAACTATTCTACGGTTCTATGATTTGTTATAGAAGTGGACTGAAAAAAAAAAAAAAAAAAGAAAGGGAGGGAGTCACAAATTCTGCAATTAGGTAGTTGTCCTATAAGCCTCCTGTAGCATCCAAGACTGGGGTAGATAAGTTTGAAATGTGATTCAGCTATCTGTATCTCACTTCTGGCTCGCTCGGCTAAAAGGTTGTTGCCAGAGATGTATTATGCATTATGAATCAGAAATATGCTACCTAACCTCTGAGGTTTCTTTTAGCTGAAGCATTCAACATCAGTGTTTGTCTTAGAAGGGAGAGGCTACCATTCCCTTCCTACCTTCCTCAGAAGCTAACTATCTGTGGTGAGACTCATTGGAGAGGACAGGAACTACGCTGACTTGCTGAGGTGATCCCAGAAAGGACACACCTTGAGCACTCCTTTGAAGAGAGAGGTCAAGAGTTAAATTCCAGGCAAAGGCTGACACCTCTCTCCTCTCCTGGCTGCAACAAAGAAGTCAAAACGAGGCAGTTAGCCTGCTGTAAACCTTCATCTCCTTTCTGAAGTATGATGTGCCCGTATGTTTGTAAGACTGGACATGGATGTGATAACCAGTGGTCAGGAGTACCAAACAGCACTGCTGGCAACCTCTCCTGACTGAGGACAGACCTGCACATTGCCATGGGCAAGTGCAGGCACTGCCAGGTGCATGCCATTTTACAAGTTGAAATAAAGATGCTTCAGAAGTACAGATGTAAAAGCTTTAAGAAACATGAACCAAGACTACCCATGCTGTACTTGTGTAGGACAAACTTTACAATCAACCAAACTCAAGCAGCCTTGGGCACCTTTTCCCCAGTAGTTTCCATGCTTCAGTGTGGTACTCCAATGGGAGCATGCTACAGAACTGAAGCGTGCATACAGAACATTCCAGTCCTTTAAAACTGGCAGAGAAAGGAAAGTGGTTCTGTACTGTTTTCATCAGTAAAATCCACCAGTCATCTGTCCCCTTTACTCCTCCTAACACACTTATCTCAGAAGGTGAGACTATCCAATCCTCATTCCACTACAAAGTGTGGAACATTCTTACCCTTGCAAAAGTGCTCAGCAGTACATACACACACTATTATTTATAATCCCCCTGATGCTGTAACAAAGCCTTTTAGCTAGCTACAATACATACAGGGAAGTCTTGCAAACCCTGAGTGTGAAGACAACATTCAAGGTACATTTTTTAAAACCAAATTTTGTTTAAAAAACAGAGAAACATACTTCTTCATATACAATTCTCACATACTATTGGCCATATACTACTGGCTAATCCCTAAACCAGAAGATTAACATGGATTTAAATGCTACTAGTCAAAAATAAAACCAAACAATTCCTAACAATTAAACGATTTCCTAACTTTCTGCACTGGATACAACACAGCTGACACCCTCACTTAGAAAAATTGCTGAATAAAACCTCTGACATTCACAATTTTCATTTTTTTCATTGGCACGCCTGCAAATTTTTATGCTTGTATTTTTAACGATCCATTTCTGATGTTTACTGAGAGCATCTGAAGTTCAGTAACACAACAGGATCATCGTGATTAATGTCTTCGTAAATTAAACCTAAACAAGAACAGCTCAGCTGTAGGCTTGGACTGTGGTTCTTTGTCCCTGGGTCACAAGAAAAATCCCTTGTCCTTCCCTCAGGTATGTGAGGGTTTGTGAACTAATGTTCCCTTTTAAGAACTGCAGGTGTCTGGCATCTGGTGACTGGTCTGGCATGTGGTAAAATGTTAATGGCAATGTTATCTTAGGTGTACTTTTAAATGTCTGCTAGGCCCTTGCTTTCACTTTTTAAAATAAAATGGAGATTATGCTCCTTTCACTGAGGCTGCAATTTTGTGCTTGTTTTTTTTGTGGTTTTTTTTGGTTGGTGGGTTTGGTTTTGTAAAGAAAAAATTTGACAGATCATGTGTGCACTTTTAAATGACACCACAAGGAAGAAATAAGGCCTGCGAGTGGAGAGAAAGGAAAAACCTGAGACACCAAAGCTTGTGGCCTGGTGCTTACAATTCACAGGCATGAAGCTGTAACACCACAGCTATTGCTTTGATCTATCTCCCTATTAATTCCTCTTCCCATTATAGAACCCCTGACATTTCACTGGTATTCAGATGTGATTAAAATATATTCTAATACCTATAAATAGAAATGTTGGTTCAAGTACTAATTAAGAACAAATCTGGCATTTGGAAACCTCTATCAACAAAAAAAGTAAAAAGGTGCAGTAAATGGCAACACTCAAAATTTTGTCATTTTTTTCTGAGAAAAAAGCTACACCTCTGTCTTATTGATCTTTACGTTAATGTCTGGATTCCCAAATTTTTGCAAGTGTCCACCCAGCAACTTCATCGTGAGAGTAACAAGAGAAATTTTGCTCTCTCCTTTGATTTTAATTATTACCATAAAGTTTCAGTTGTAACAGGGTAAGTCATGCACACTGACTGTCCACAGCCTTCATGGTAGTTTTTAATTAAACCAGAGTTAAATGTCATGTTAAGTTTACCATGTTCCCTCACTGCACATTAGTTTGCTCATATGCTACTTCCTAACTAACCCTTGCTTGTATATAAATCTACACAACCCTTATTTTCATGACTGATTCCATCTTCTTACCTCCCCTTCTGAATACTACATACTCAAAGCAGATTCATTGCAAGGGTGCTTTCAGCCACAACTTCTGCTGTCTAACTGTCACAACTTGCCATCTTGAGAGATTCATGGGACTCTGTGAAACAGTCAGCTCTGTGTGCTGTAATAAGGCTTTACTGGTTTGCCCCTCAAAGACATTAAGCTCTTTGCAGCAGAGATAGATGCTCATATGTGCCTGTGATAGGGAATTCACATCCACGGTATCATATAAACTACTGTTTTTCTCAGGGACTGTTAACATCCCTTGGCACTTACTAGGAGCAACTGTAAAGAACCGATTCCCCCTTGAACTCATGCCCAAAACCAGAACATACTGTGGTCCCTCTGAAAAGCAAACTTTTCTGAATCCTGAGACTCCGGAACAGTCAACAGGAACAATACAGGCTGACCACAGGAAAGAACAATTTTAGACCATAACAGACACAGTTGCATTTGGAGTCAATAAACACAACTAAAACGAAATGTGCTCTAATACACACTCACCATGTTGCAGTGAGAAATTTAACACTTGAGCAAACATGCTGCCGAAGGTACACATACAATCATTATGGCATCTAGGCTGCACTGTCTCCTACTACCACAGTATGTAAACACACCTGGTCCCATATAGCATGACCACCTAGAAATACTGAGTAATTAAGGCATCTGAAGATGCAACAATACTGGAGTTAAGAACATCTTATTTCAGACTCAGACACAGAAAAAAACCAGAAACAACCCATCTGAATGAGCCTGGATCCTAATCCTATTGTAACACTATTACTCCTAGTCAACAGTGCAATGGTGTATGCTGGGGAGATTGTTTTTAAGTGATTACCTCAGCATCTTGCTCCCGGAGCTGGTACGTTTTCTCTAAGCACTGCAGTATTCTAGGACACAATGTCTTCACCTCCAAGAGAGACTCCAGAAGTAAGACCAGCTGGTCAGGGAGAAGCTAAGAGGAAAATAAATGCCAAATGTGAATAAAGATCTCTACTGACTAATTAAATGGAAACAAACCAAAGAGGGTAAGATTATGATAACCTACGTACTTCAGGCATGTGCCTGAAATACAGAAACTTCTAATTGTTCTTGAAAAACCTCAGGGTTTACATGTCTATGTTCTGAAAGATTCCTGTGCTGGGGCTCAATTAAGATTCATTTTACATGGTTTTCATTACTACAGTTAGATCAGATCTAAAACATGCTTATCTTATTGAAACATAATCATAGCTTATTAAGTAAGATTTTCATGGAATACATATGCTAAGTAATTCTATGTTGTTTGGGCTTGGAAAGAATAAAATACCAGAATAATTTACAGTACACAGCTTCAGGAAACAACGAGACATATGAATGTGGCATTTTTATCTGCGATACAAGCACTTAAATGATATTCTCACAATGAACAAAGAAACTCAACTCAAATAAGTGACACGCAAAAGAAGTGTTGTAGCAACACATTTTGAGGCATATTTTAGTGCAGTGAGTCACAAGTCATCTGTTACTGTATGGTAAAGACATGTTAGAATGTTATGTTTGTGGCACACACAGTATATATCTATCTATACATGTATATGTATTTAGTAGTCACCTGACTCCAGAACCTCTAATTCTCAAGTTGAACCTACTGTAACCTAAAAAGAAAAAGCACAAGAAATCTGATGTAGCAAACGCTTAAGTGCTCTGTTTAATAGGCTTATAGGATGAACAAATAAATAATTCAAACAGAGCTCAGACAGAAACTACACCAGTTGCCAGGAAACATCTATTGGAAATTCAGGGTTCAGGGTGATCAGTCAGAATCAGCCTTCCCCACTATTCATCATTGCAGGGCACCAAAAACAGAAGGGGGAAGGGAGGAAGAACGTGAATTTAAGCTTTTGCACATAAAAAGAAACTAGCACTGCTCACTTCTAATGTTCTCCAGACAGATTAATGGAAAAAGATATCCTGTTACTTCAACACTAATTCTAGCTTTTATCACATTTGGTGATTCTCTGCTCCTGCCTTGCTGTCTACATCCCCCTCTGCTGTGTCAATGCATTAAAATGGATTCAGATACAAAATGAATTCAGCTAAACAAAATGCCTCTTCCAACAGACAGCCCTGGCTGTGAGGTATGCACTGAACAAGTCAGGACCCTGATCGCTGACAGCATGTCCACGAAAATATCTAGTATCTTCTGGTAAGTCTAAATCTGTAAAATACTGCCATTAACAATTGAGCAACATGACATTTTTTTTCCCTTTCAGTCTGAAATAACTTAACATTAGTACCTGAACAGAATAAAGTGGGAAAGAAATCTCTAGGATTGTAACGCTTTGGTTTCCTTGCATTTTGATATCCTTCTATTTTTTTTATCATTAAAGTTGTATTTTTGGAGACTGAGAAAAGTTCACATCTTACTGGCTCTTACTGGAACATTTTCTAAGTGATCCTGAAGCCTGCCAACAAAACTGAGTTGTTAAAAACAGTCATATATTTCAAAATAGTGAGTATTTCTATTTCAGAACAACTGCTAAAACACAGTCCAAGAGCAGTTGCCTGGACATGGTGAGACTCACTAAAATATAAAACAGGGAAGGCTTCTGGGAAGTGGCTCTGCTATGTAAGTGAATTCATTCTGAGCACTAATAAAATCTGAAATGTTGCAGAACACCATGCACAGAAAGGTAACTTCTTGTTTAGAAAGCTTTCCCTGCTAACAAAGAGAGCAGAGCAATACTTAATTTGTAGAAACTATAAAGCAGCTGCTTTAATACATAGGTACAGAACAACTGAAAGTTATCATTTTATATCTCCAGTATAAGTGCTATACAGATTCACCCACGGAAAGCTATTCTTTAAGATAACATTACAGAATCTCACTGAAGCCCACAAAAGCACAGCAGCTGAGCGACAACCATGTCCTTAATTTACCTCTGCCTCGTGCATTATGGTGAAGAGTTTTCAGAATTACAGGTTAAACTCTCACCAGTTTAGATTTGAGACTACAGATTAAAAAACATCTGAGACCATGCCTTCTGCTTTTTTCCCACGTTCCAGCTGCCCAAGATGAGATTTTACATACCAGTTTCCAGCTCAGGACTTAATTAAAATGCAACGTAAGCACTAGCAAGCGGCGTGGGGGGTGGAAGGGGTACGGGAGATCCTAGCAAAAGAAACGCTGACAGACCTGTAACCGAAGTGGCACTAGTGGGCGCAGCTACTACATTTCGTGCTCCTGCTACATTCTCTTTCGTGTCTTACCCTATACTAACAAAAGAGACACCGCCTGAGAGAAAAACCTATCCGAAGCAAAGAGACATAAAGCTCGGCTGAAGTTTCACGACAGATTACTACTGAATTCCTGCGGGGGGGGTTGCAATTTTTTCCCTGAACACAGTCATATGAATAACACTATCTGCGAAGCAGCTTTTTAACTGCTATAAATGAACTTCACAAAATTGAAATCAAATTCTCTGTCAAAACCCCCATGCCCCATTATTTTTTGTTTTCACCACTGCCATTCTTACTTGTCCCACCCACCTGCTACTTCTCATCTTTCACACTACGAGAATTGTCTGGGTTGCACGCTGTCAATTTCCCATTTGTTTGCCTTATGCTTAATACAAAGGTGCCCTTGCTTTTAAGTGCTACCAAAATATAAATGCTATAGAAAACAAAGAGTAAAATTATTTTCAAGTATTGGGAAGCCTGTTCTCTTTTCAACATGTCATATTCTGAATGCATACTGAACACCTAACATACAGTATAAAAAACCCACACAATGCACCTATAGCAAAATACAGCAGAGTAAGTTCCACTGTGTCAATGTGTATCTCCATGTTGAAAATGTTTAGAAAACAACCATAATACCCCAAACACAAAATTTCAGTGTTCCTGTTAATAAAACATTTTACAGATATGTGTGTGTATATATGTATATAATCATAGTCTGAACTATACTGGAGCATGCTCAAAATGTTCAAATATATGCAATTATTAAAGTAGCTCACTTCAATCAGGGAATGTGGCAAGTATCAAGCAGTTTTCATTACAACAATGATTGCTGCAACAGCACCTATATATATGGCAAACTAAACAGCCCCTGCCCCAAACTATGCCTGCCGCATGGAAATCATGCTCCTTTTCCCAGGGTTCCCCTTCCCCAGTTGCAAGTACTGACAGTACAAATAAATACTGTTGCTATCAAGTACACCAGAGGTTTTCTGTCATGTCCCAAATAATTAAATATCATCCCCACTATAACTATGTATCCCTGCAGTGTATACATTATCTTGCCCTTAAGAATGTAAAACTTCTGCAACTCCTCAGGCTTTTGAAGTTTGCTTTGTGCTGCCACTAAACATTTGTCCCCTGCTTCCTCTATGTTACCTGATGTGGTGGTTTAAAAGTTTGAATGATGAAGCTGTTAACGCTAAAACGCTAAACCAAACTGCAACTGATTTGCAAGCATCAAAACTAGGTCTGTAATTAAAAAAGGCAGGGTGAAAGAATTAAAGAAAACGTAGCTAAATCAAAAATATAACTCAGACTACTATCAAAGCAGCTTACTGGTACTGCGATTCAATGTACACTAATTTGTTACAAGACTATTTCAAGTAGGTTTGAAAGGGTTTCTACAAATAATCTTGGAACAAACCCATGAGTTTTCTGACTCCTAACCCTAAACTGTAAAAAGCACAAAGAAAACAAATCTTGTCTCTTCAAAAATCTGGTATGGCAGGTACTGAAGTTATCAACCCCACACCCCAGAAGACCACCCACATGAAGAAGCATATTTATCAATTCCTACATTAACAAATGCAGTAAATGCCAGATTCACCCCTTAATACAAGGAAAAAAAAAATGCCACTGAAACATTGGACTACTGACCTTTCACAGCCATGAAACGTGACACAGATATATCTATTTGAGTATCCACAGCACCAGCACTTGCACCGCACCCCTAAGCCAGGACACAAATCACAAAAGTTGTACAGCTGGTATGCTGCATATCCCATTTGCTCCTGCCTGCACTTGAATGAAGTCATTGAAATCCTCCTCCAAGGGGAAATCTGCCTCAGACTAATGCAGTAGCCGATTGACAGTGGCGTGATTTCTATTATTACTCCATTATCACACTGGGATCTGTGCCTAAACGAGCATACTTCCTCCCTGATGCCATTTCCTTTTATCCTGGCTCTAGTCTAAAAGCGGATCAATGGGAGTAATATATATGATGTCACTTCAATTTACAGCTACTGCCTCCCTCTCACGCATGCATAGATAGATCAATTCTTCCCAAAAATGGTTAAGAAATGCTCAGGGAGACTCTTCTCCCAGAAAAGGGTTCTCTGCTATATTTGTCTGTGTAACCACAGCAAGGAACTGTTTACACTGAGCAAAAACAGGGGGAAAGGAAAAAAAAGTCACTACTGTGCATCGAAAAATGCTGGCTGAAATACAACACAAACAAGGCCCAAAACAGAATTAAAGCATTTTGACCTTTAAAAATGATACAGAAAAGTTTCAAGTTTCTAAGAAGCAATATATTTCTCCTGTACTAATTTAGAAGGCAGTAGCATCCCTCCCACCAAACATGAAATGTTTTTTCATTTACATTTTTACAAGATTTTCCGAAGTCAGACCAAACTTCTTCCCACCCCTGAGGAAAGAAAGAGAAAAACCCCACCCCAGAGTTCAATAGTGAATGGTTCCCTTCAGACAGAATTTAATCTTAGAATTATAGAGTTGTTTACGTTGGAAAAGACCCGTAAGATCATAAAGTGCAACTGTTAACCAAGCACTGCCAAGTTCAACCACTAAACCATGTCTCTAAAGCACCACTTCTACACATCTTTTAAATACCTCCAATGATGGTGACTCAACCACTTGCCTGGGCAGCTGGTTAAGATTTCCTCATTAACTGTAGATAAGAAAGAACTGCTACTAGTCCATGAGACAGGA